TATAGGGTGCCAGAATAAACGGTTGAAGCATTGGGTAAGAATCACAAAATCTAACTCATTCTGTCCCAGTAGGCGAACCATAGACAAAAAAACCCTGTAATTTAAATAGAGATCCTCAGACTTCAGGTAATTTTTTATTACACAACATCAGCACAAGATAGTAAAAAATCCATACCTAAGAATAATTTCTTAAGATATGAAATTAAAATAACCATTTTATCTGCCCACTGATAGTATAAATTTAATATCAAATCAAACAGAATCATAGACCTATGTTCCCATTTAGTCTCATTTATATACTATGTTTCTTTAAATTATAGCACTAACATGTTCACAGATCAAGCAATCTTGACAAGCTTAGCTCTGCCAAGTGTCTTATAATTATTGAAAATTAAGTATTACTTGAAACGAATATATTTTGTATTTCAAGTTTTACTTGTTGATGAACATACCAGTTTTGAAATAGGTGTCATGCAAATTTTAAAGGGTATTTAATTCATTGATCTTCTAAAAAAAGTTGCCATTAACTTTTGAAAATAAAGAATACCAATATAGACCTCACAAGACAATAAAATAGATAAATGCATCATCTTTTTTCCTACAAGCTGAAATATGTTTGCAGTTTTTGTCAATAAATCAGTATGTGTATGCATATCTCTCTTGTGCTTTATTGAAATTTATAACTAAGTAAGCATAGAATAAAACCACTATACATTACAACTAAGATCATGTGTATATAAATATAATAGTACATACATACAAATATATTATTGTAGGATATAAGATTAAACTGGCTCATTATTCTTAAATTCATAAGGTTAAAAAGTCACGGTTTGAGAAATACAGGAAAGGGTTTCTTTCTGCCGTAAATTATTGCAGATAATTGGACATTCTGAAGTGCAAACAACATGGTCCATGGAAGCATAAAGAATAAATAGATCACTAAACTTGTTTTATGCAGTGTTTAAACACAAGTAACGCAGTTTTTGACTTTATATAAGGTAAACATATTTTATAACCAATTTGTAATGTGACAGAAAGCCAGTAAAATAGTTTCAATAGTGGTATGATAAACTGTGATAGTGTACTTCTATGTAAACATGAATCAAGACTTTCATATCCTGTCAAGACAACAAAGAACCCAACCTTACTAAGAGAGCACTAGAATTTCAGACAATGTACTTCTTAAGGGAAAAACTTAAGGTGAAAAGTGGCACCAAGCTTTTTGGAACAAAAGAGAAGTATAATCATACTCCAGGTAGTTGCACTACAGCCTTTATATTTTAAAATAGGTCCACAGGTTATATTCTTCTTCATGTACTACTTAGGACAAATGGTTTATTTATAAAAATTCCTAGAAGAAATTCTGAATGAAAAGATAGTATTCATTATTTTACAAGGTTTGGTATGTCTTCTAATATAATAAAAGTTAAAAATGTGAAAATCAATATTTGAACTCACAGAGATAAAGTGCAGGAAGAAATAACTTTAAAATTGTGAATTTGTTTTTAAAATAATAAACCTTTTATTTATCACTTTCCAACATGATGTTAGAGAGGATAAGAGCTCCTTTCTATAATATATTACTCTTTCTGCATAATTGAAGAATATCATGAAATGTTTTATAAAAGTTTTTAATCACAATCAAAACACATTTTACCTAATAACCGTTTAAGTGAAATGTAATAAAATCCTTTATAAAGCATGTTTTTCCAAAGAATAATCATTTCACATTTTATATTTGGAGCTATGTCACTGGTGAAATTTTCTTTAAAATAGCCTATTAATATCAACTGTAAGGTATCTGAAGAATATAATTTGCAAATATATATAGCTCCTTAAGATTCAAACTCAACCTAAAATGTATGCCCGATTCTCACTTGTATTATTCATCTATACTAGATCGAATACTAATTACCTATTGGTTCATCAGCATGTACTGGGAAGGTATGTACCAATATTTCGTATTCCTCACTTGTATGGACAGCCTTGGCTGAATCATAATGAACAAAGCTGTTCAGTCATATCCCCTTTTCCATTTACTCAAGCCAGGAAGAGACTGAAAATGTATTCAGGCAATGGGGTTCTCTGATGCTTAGAATTTTAAAAAAATACATTGAATAGGGAAGAGATCTATTTTCAAATGCAGAATGAAGGAGAGGTTTTTTTTTTCACACACTGCAGAATAATAATACAGTAAGAAAGTCCTCCTCCAGTGGTAGGAGAGCTGAGGAGGTGAGAACAGGCCACAAGAGTTAGACATTCCATTCCAAAAGATGATGCCATGCCAGAGCAGGTGTTATTACCTCTGTCCCAGAGGTACCTGTGTTTTCATTGTTTTCAGAATCTTGAGATTTGAGATGGCACAGCCTCATTCCTTTCTCTGTTTTTGCACAGAAGTTTCTCATGATCTGATACTATGTGGTACTGGGAAAAGCCCATTTAAGGTGGATCTTCTTAGTCCTCAGGCCAAAATGTCATAAATACTGAGGAGGGAGAATGGAAAAAGGAAAAGGAAGAAGAGGAAAAAAAGGTGAAGAGGAAGATTGAAAATATTTGATGGATCTTTAACTTGAAAAAGAAAATAAAAAGTGTGACAATATTAATAAATTATATTTAATAACATTTGGGTTACAACTGCAATTATGTGTTGATTTTTAGAACGAAAAATAAGTTGAAAAAAATCCCTGAGTCTGGGAGTGTAATATTGCAAGTTGTGAACTAAAATAAAATCTTAAGGCTCTCCCACCTCATAGGCTGACTGAATGGACCCCCTCTTGGCCAAGGGGATATCCCAAAACTAAATTGCCTTCCAAGAGGAGGGAGGTCAGACAGGACTCATCATGCCCCTACTTCTTGGAAACATCCTTTGTAAACCATTAACAGTCATAAGGGTATATAAGACAAACCCACATGTCCTCAATTTACACAACAAATATATGTCCTTGTCTCTGATTAACAGCTCCTTGTCTTAAAACCTTCCAAGCTGTTAGACAGAGCTTCACAGTCTTTAACTAATTATAAGCCAAAGAATCTTTAAACCCACCTACAACCTCTAAGCCCCCCAACTTCGAGATGGCCCAGCTTTTCAGGCCAAACCAATGTATGCCTTCCACGTATTGATTTATGACTTTACCTGTAACCCCTGTCTCCCTGAAATGTATAAAACCAAACTGTAACCCAGCCACAGCGAGTCCACTTGCTCAAGGCTTCTTGGGCATGGCTCCAGGTCATGGTTCTCAAATTTGGCTCAGAATAAATCTCTTTAAAATTATTTTACAGAGTTTGGCTTTTTTTCTGTTAACAAAGAAAATGTTTCTGATAATAAGACAAGACATCCTCAATCCACATTTTCCCAAGGGCCTCTTTTAATCCTTTCATATTTAAATTATTCTCTTTAGAAGTTCCTACCTAATCATCATGCCTCTTGCTTTTCTCTTCAGTTGTTGAGTGGTTTAATTCTCATTTGTGTGTGGTTCTTACAGTTTTCCATTATCACTTTCAATGTCTTCAAGAAAGTTTTTATCTTGTGCAATAATTGCATTTTCACTTTAATTTGATTTGCATTGTATTTTATATCACATTGTCCAGATACTGATGTTTTAAGCAATGAGAAGTATAAAGGTTAATGTTAGGCAGAGAGGATTCTCTTATGTGATTGATGACTAATTATATAACTGGCCAGTTTTGTATTACGTATTTGTATTTGTATATATTTTGTATTTTGCTTCTCTAAACAATCTTTTGTAAATCCAGTAATTTGATTATGAAAACTCAGAAGAAAGACCACTCTGATCTCTAAATAATCAAGAATGGTCTGTTTTACCAAGCATCCTATAAATGCCCAGATAATTATATAAAAGAAATATAATCTTTGAGAAGTATGTTATGATTTTACTCTTGGAAATCTTGTTATGCTATTCTTAGGTCATAATAACAAATTCTGGGAAAATATGCCTAATGCTTAGCAAGTCAATTGTTCATCTCAAAATTTTAGCTATAAAAAATAAAGCAGAAAAAAAATAATTGTGTACCCATTGTCTCAGTATGGCTGGTGATTTCTCAACTAATAAACAAGAATCGCTATTTTAATTCCTTTTTTTAATGGCAATTTAGTAAAAATTATTAGTCAATTTGTTAGGTTTGATCAATTTGTTAGGTTTGATCTTAACTTTGTTGTATGTATATGTAGGGGGAAAAGAACTATAAATTAAGATAATTTGAACTGCGGTTATAATCTTACAATTGTAGTACCCAGAATATGCCACCCCAAAACATGCTCCTTTGGCATAAGGATTATTCGAGCCAAAGGCAATTAAGAAGAAGCAGATACAAGAAAAACTTTCTTTTCCCTATTTGGCTAAAAGCTGGACATAAATTTACAAGAACAAAGGGGTCCTCCTCTCCTCTCTACCAGGAACGATAAAAGTTGATCACCGAAGACACAGCATTACAATACACAATATTGTGTGTACAAACACACACACACTAAGTAACATAAAAATTACCAAATGATTTAAAGTATCCAAAGAGAGGCCAGGCACGGTGGGTCACACCTATAATCCTAGCACTCTGGGAAGCTGAGGCAGGTAGATCATTTGAGCTCAGAAGTTTGAGACCAACCTGAGCAAGAACAAGACCCCATCTCTACTAAAAATAGAAAAAAATTAACGAGGCAACTAAAAACAGGAAAAAAAAATTATCTAGTCATGCTGGTGTGCACCTATAGTCCCAGCTACTTGGGAGGCTGAGGCAGGAGGATTGCTTGAGTCCAGGAGTTTAAGGTTGCTGTGAGCCAGGTTGATGGCCACAGAACTCTAGCCCAGAAAAGAGAGTGAGACTCTGTCTCCCCCCACCCTCAAAAAAGATGTAAACTCCACAAGTCTTACTAATGTCTGAAAACTCATCTGCTTTATCACTTCCTCCAGGAGGCTGAGCTTCTGAGCTTCAAGGTCCTGTGATGGGCATGGTGCTCTTCCTTTGTACTCTCTTGTTGCCTATCCTTGCTATGGTATTTCCCTGCTAAACAGTGGGGAGAGGGCAGGAGGTAAGTGTTCAGTTTTTTAAAATCTAATGTCTATCTCTACTAACTCAAAGACAAGGACTCTTTTCCCCACATACCAGCATGCCTCATATGAAGTAGGCTCTCAATGTTTGTTGAAATGAGTCTAGCTCCTAGAAGTGCTATGTTCTGGGAGGAAGTGCAGTTTTAAAAAGAGGTACTTTCTCAGGGGCTACTCAGCCAATGTCAAGGCTTTTTAACCACTGCCTAGAAAAATCTGACACTGGCAGCATTAACCTTTAGAAGCCATACTAGCATTTACTTGAAGGCTATGTTTCGCAGTGAATAACAGGCTTCATCTAAAGTCTAATAACTTGTACTTTAATAACGTGGGTTTAATAAAAATGTAAAATAGATTGAGAAATTATCAGAAACCATAAACTCCTAGCTTATTACTGCATAGCAAAGAACATACTCCCTAGTTAATCTTCTTCCACTTCCCAATGATCTATGTTCACTTCATCATCCCTAGAATCCAGTCAAATCAATTACAGCATTAGTTCTTACAGCTTCCAGACAGTAATATCCTTCATCTGCCCAAATCCTCATGTTCCCTTGTGGATTCAGGTTTCATTGCATCACCAGGTGAAAGCTTATTTTAAAAATGACATTTTTGTTGAGTGATTTGCCCTGTTTGAAAAAAATGGAAAAATAGAAGGCTTTGAATCAGAAGCAGTACAATCAAACTTCATCAGTGTCTATGTAGCCATTATCTGTACTCACCACTTTGCAAAGTGCTGTGGAGCTTATAAAACAGGGACAAGACACCAAGCTTTATGCAGCCTTATGGCACAATCATGTTGTGAAACATTTACTAACATTATAAAGCAAAATGTGATTAAGTGTCAAAATGAGACATATAGTCATTAAGGACTTCTGAGGTTCTGCTGAAAGAGAAGGACAATCAGCAGGGGTCTAAGGGAGTCAGCCCAAGGCAGGTCGAAGACATAGATCGTTACCATGGACAACAGACTTGGGTAGGCAACAGCCTTGGAGAACTCTGAGCAAGCAAAGCAGTGTGACCACAATCCTGAGGAAAGGAAGAAGGATAACTTACAAGAGAAAATGAGAGAAGAAAAGATAGGTAAGAGAACACTAGAAACTTTGTCTCTAATTCACAGTTATTCTTATTTTTTTTATTTGGTACACAATGCTATGTATAAATTAGTATTACTCTTGTCATAAATTACTCTCATTTCTTATTCATTTATTTATTCATTGTTGCTCAAGGAATTTTAGGTGTATAGCAAAAAGGCAGGCAATAAAATAGACAACTATAACTTCACAAAATAGAAGAGATAAATGGAATTTTAGAAGGTCAAGACCAATCAGAAAAACCAAACTGAAAAATAGGCATTTTAAGATCCATCATAATTATTATATTTGAGTGACAGATCTGGGTCTCAGTTTCCTGGCAGTTCAAGAAAAAAGAATCATCATCATAACATTTTAATTTTTGTATTTTTTTTAAGCCAGTGATTCTTTTTTTAAGCTAGTGATTTTTTTTTCTTTTTCTTTAGACAAAGGGTCTCCTTCTGTTGCCTAGGCTCGAGGGCAGTGGCCCAATCATAGCTCACTGTAACCTCAAACTTCTGGGCTCCAGGGATCCTCCCACCTCAGCCTCCAGAGTAGCTGGGATTACAGGAGTGTGCCATGACACCTGGATAATTTGTTTTAATATTTTGTAGAGATGGGATCTTGCTATGTTGCCTGTGCTGGTCTCAAGCTCCTGGCCTCAAGACATCCTCCTGCCCCAGCCTCCCAAAGTGCTGGGATTACAGGCTTGACCTACTGTGCCAGGCCCAAGCCAGTAATTCTTAACACACTGACTGCCACACTAGAAAAAAAATTTTTTTTCCTTGGGCCATGGTATTTTATTACAAAAATAGAATAAAAACTTTGAAAACAAACCAATCCTTTCTAATTTAATAAAAAATGGTTATTTTTTATTGTTTTCTGTATTTTTTCAATAAAAAGTAATATAAAAACTTGAAAATTAGTAATGTAAAAGTAGTGTGAAAACTTGAAAAATAGTTCATAAGGGTAAAATGTTTTTCTTGACTTGTCAAGCTTAAGTGTAATTTAAGGTAAACATAAATAGAGAAACAAAATTTATTGACTTCTATTCATTTAATCCATGGTTTTAGAATTAAATTGTCAATATTAATTGTAACAATAAGAACATCAACTAGTAAGATTTTCACGAACTAACTGCAGGGTCTTGCCCAGGTTTTGCTTCATGAGGTCCTGGGCTCAAAACTAGTGTGAGTTAGATACAACTCACATGGCAGTTAATGTGTTAAACTGGGTCAATGTAATCCTTCATAGTTCATGAACAACCTTTGTGGGGCCTGTGAAAATCCTGGAATTTTATCCAAAATGTCATTTATCTGGAGAATTTTTAAGGAAAGTATCCATAATTTCATCAGATTCTTGAAGGAGTTTATGACCCAAAATTTTATGAACCACCAGAAGAAATGATGTTTAGTTTACAGAGCACTGTCACATAATTATATTGTCTGAGGCCCAGAAAGATTAAGTCCAAAGTCTAAATAAAGAGTGCAACAGCCAGATTTGGCCAGTTGACATTTTCTAAAAAATTGGATTACCAACATTTAAAAGTCTTGAGGCTGGGCGTAGTGGTTCATATCTGTAATCCTAGTGCTTTGGGAAACTGAGGCAGGAGGATCGCATGAGGCCAAGAGTTTGAGACCAGCCTGGGTAACACTGCCAGACCCTATCTCTATGAAAAAATAAATAAAAAAAAAATTAGCTGGATGTGGTGACACACCACTGTAGTCCCAAGCAATTCAGGAGCCTGGGGCAGAATTGCTTGAGCCCAGGAATTTGAGGCTGCAGTGAGCTATGGTCACGCCACTGCACTCAACAACCTGGGTGACAGAGCAAGACCCTGTATCTAAAAAAAGAAGATGACAAAGAAAAAGGCCAGGTGCAGTGGCTTAGGACTACACACTTATAATCCCAGAGTTTTGAGAGGCTGAGGCAGGAGGGTCACTAGAGGCCAGGAATTCAAGACCAACCTGAGCAACATAAAGAGACCCCGTCTCTACCAAAAATTGAAAAATTAGTCAGATTTGGTAGAGCATGACTGTACCAACTACTTGGGAGGCTGAGACAGGAGAATTACTTGAGCCCAAAACTTTGAGACTGCAGTGAACTACAATGATGCCACTGCATTCTAGCCCAAGCAACAGAGTGAGACCCAGTCTCAAAAAAAAAAAAAAAAAAAGCCTTGAAAAATGAAAACATTCGGCACTATGGAACTCAGTTCAGCATGGCAGTAATTATCTCCTAAAGCTGAGAAATATCTGCCTCTTGGTACCAAGCAGGTGTCCTCTAGTTTATCCCATGCTTACCATTCCCGATAGTTCCAATCCCTTTGCTCACTCATTTCCTGCCTGGCCGCATTTGTGCTGGAGAGTTCCAAATGAAGTAATTTGTGCAGAACTGATAACTGGATCTAGTTTTTGCTCCATTTCAGAATGGGTTCTCCGTCCCAGTGGATCTTAAACTGTATGTCTGTCAGAAGCCTGCTGTTATGTGTTCACCTTTGCTTTTTGCTGCTATTCGTCTAACAATCAAGCATTATTAGACGCATAGTTTATGATGCTTAGTTGCCTTTTTCATGAGCACATGTACTTTATACATATTTGCATTCATTCAGCAAATTTCTTGAGCATATACTATATGTCAGACACTTTTTTTAGTTCTAATATATGTAATATGTATGTATGTATGTATATATTTCTGCTAACAAAATATTTTCTAACTTATCTGATAAAATTAAATGTATCAATGTTTTATAATGTTCTATAAAAAGTACCATGAGTCCGTGTGCTTTGCCACCTAATCACAATCACTGCACTCCTCAAGCTATAGCTCATTAAATTACCTGTGCCTATTCATTAGTCTTATATACATAAAAAATATAACTCTGGAAGAAGCATGTTTCTTTCTTGCTTAATTGCAGATCAGTCAACACTGATTGTTATATTTCATTCTCCAGCCTATGTTATTTTGGTATATTTCTTTCTTCTCAATATCTAATTTAATATGTTGGTAACTTGGCTTTACCTTCTAATGTGTCATGAATCCATTAATTTATCTCCATCTCCCGTGTTCTTATCCTGGTCTGAGCCCCCAATATCTCCTTCTAGACCACTACAATAACTTCACGATTAGTTTTCCTGTTTCCACTTTTGCAGTTTTACAATTCTTTCTCCCCAGAGTTGCCAGAGTGGTCCCGTAAATGTAACAGACCCTGTTATTGCTCCACGACTTAAAACTCTCCTATGGCTGCTTCTCCCACTTGAAGTAAAACCCAGATCCCTTACCTTGGTCTTCACGAGCTTCATGATGTAACCCTACTTCTGTCTCTGACTTCGTGTCCCACCACTCTCCCCAGCTGCAGGCACAATGGCTTCTTGCAGAAATACTGAGAAGGCCAGTCTGTTCCTTAGTTAGGGCCTTTGCATTTCTGTTCCTTGGGCTAGGACTATTCTTCACTTAGTTCTTGGTTTGGTGGACTCCCTCTTTTCTTCAGATCTTCAAACAAGTTTTATATCCTCAGAGAGGCACTTCCTGACCATCCAATCAAAATTAGTTGTCCCCCCTTCCTATGTCAACCAGTCTTCCCCATTGCCCTGCTTCATCATTATCTTGTTTTGTGTTTTTGTTTATCTTCCGACTTGATCACAGTCTCCATGAAAGTGGGGAATCCTGTCTCTCTTATTCACCTGAATGCCCAGCTCAGGCACTTGTTCATCTAAATGGGTGTCTGGCACATCAATGGCCAAAAATATCTGTTGAATGAATGAGTAAACAAATAAATGGAAAAAAAAAAAGGCAAGCACTCTTGGAATCTAGACATACTGACACATGACACTTTTCTGATACTATGAGCTATGTTGAAGAATGGTTGATTGAGTGATTGTGCTTAAGTGCATCACTGTGAGAAAAGCTCAGTGGCTTATTTGATTTGGGTTCAAAGGATATTGCCTATGACCTAGCCATATTCGCAGCCATACTCTTACCTAGTGTATATCATTTTAACAGAAAATAAATTAACAGATTTTTTAAAATTCTTTTTGTCCTAGCATAATTCACTGCCTACTCCTTAAAATTACTTTGACTTTAGGAAAAAACAGATTCACATGAATCCCTAACAGGAAAACTTAAGCTGCTTGGAAATCTTTAAGTAAACTTTCAATATGTGTAGGCAATGATCATTTTTAATCATGCAAATGCATAATATTTGATCAAAGGAAAACTATTGTGCCTTAGCGACATGCAGGAAATATGAAGTGTATGCTAATGTTTGTACTGCACACATTTGTTATGGCAGAAAAATGTAGTTTTTCTTTTTTTTTTTTTACTTAAGATTCTAGAGATCTGTGTAATTCAACTATAAGAAATAACAAGTAAAATCTTTTTTCCTAATTAATTAAGAGATAACAGAGGATCTAATAAATTTTTATTAAAAATGAAGAAATGAGTTGTTTCAGTAAATATCAAAGTTCAGCCCTTGGGTTAAACAGCAAAAATATATTTCAAGTTATATGAGAAAATAAAATGCTCTTTGGTGCAAAAGTAAGGAAAGCTCAGAAGATTTCCACTGAGACAAAAGAGAAAATTCCAAAAGATTACAAAAAAAAAGAGATCATTGCAAGACACATGTATTGTTTTATTCTTAGAGAAATATACTTTCTCGCTTTATGAAACTAGTCTGAACCTGTCCCTAAATCTACGTGGAATTAAGACTCCTACTGCATGCAGAACAGAATACAGCAACTTTACTGCAAACTATTATTAGAAGTTTAGAATAAAGGATCTCCAGATTTCCCTTGAATGTCAATGAATGTTAAATTCCTAAAAGTTACTAGTAATAGAACTAGCATTTATGTAATACTTGATAGTTTATGGACACTTTCAAATACCTTATCTCATTTGGTTTTCAAAATAATCCTTGGGAAAATCAGAATACATGTGATGTTATTGTACTGATAGAGAGAGCTTAGTGCAGGTCCAAAGTCACTTAGTACTAAACTGAAATGAGTGAATCCTTCCTCCTGCAGTATAGCATCACTTTATTTAGGAACAAAGTCTCTCATTCCACCAGAGTACCCGGTCTTAACCTTGGAATGCCCTGGGAGACTTACCACTTCTATTTACATTTGCACTAAGATGCAAATAAGCGATCAATGATCCTTCTCTGTGGGAAGACTAGAGGAAAGAAAGAAAGAAAGGGTCTGAAACCTACAGCCTTTGAAAAGGTGGATTACCCAAAGAGGGGGAGCTGCAGGAAGGAAGTGGGAGCCCTTGATGAGAAACTCAGCCTCAATCACAGCTCTTCCAAAGCTCTCCTGTCCTTACTTTGAGCTGCTAGTAAACATCATGTATGGAAGTATGTTGATCTTTTTGAAATCGTTTATCTGTGTTGATGTTTTCAAATAATGAATCATTGTTTAAATTTGCGAACTCATGTCGCAGCTAAAATGTGAAGAGTGAGTAGGAGTCAGCCAGTCGAGGAGGGGAAGCCTCATATTCCAGGCAGAAGCAGCAGCATGTGTGAAGGCCAGAGGCAAGAGATGGTTTGGCCAATTTTCTTACTGTGTGCCACACAAATCCACTGAGCTGTGAATTTGTGTTTTATTTGCACAGCTATGGATCAGGAGCACGAGAGCTATTATCT